TACGGCCATATTTCCCGGTTCTCGTAAAATCCCCTAGCAGCAAAAGATCGCAACACGAATTATCTCCCTTCTTTCTATCCAATCAGAACACGTGTTACATCGACTTAGATTCAACTTGACTAACACAAGCAAATGTGGGGCCACAAATATCCCCCACCTGCCGGGGACTTGTGTTGATGTTACACACAAGACGTTTAATGGCTAGCTTGTCCGTTGTCAACAAGGGCGATGGAGACGCAACTGATCCGCCATAACATGACTGAGTTCTGTCTAGATGAAACGTTTGCGCATCGCGCAGGGGAAGAAGTTTAGTTTTCTCGAAGTATACGGAAATTACCGAGGCCTTGCGAATGATCACTTTAGAAACAACGTCGCTGATTGCACAACTAAATATGATTGCCTCCAATCACGAGTCTTGAACGCTCACACCATGAAAGGGCCGTATTAGAACAGAGGTTACGTAGGAAGATATGACAGGAGTAACCTCTGTGGGAAGAGAATGATGGATGAGGAGCATCAGAAAATCAGCATCAGTCCCAATGACAATGGCTTTGTGCCCATTATCAGCACAATCAATACCTGTTTGTTTAAAGACAAGGTCAGCATCTGCTCTGGCTTCTATCACTGGGATATTGAGCCCATGAAATTGTTGTGTCAGAGCCTTTACAAAATGTGACTTATTTTTACCATTGGACAGGAATTAATCATGTTTGATTGCCAATGGTGTTTCAGAATTGCAAACAATGTCAGTGCTCAGATATCTGGATGCTCTCCGACTCTGTTCAACACCTTTTGTGGACACAGAGTCGCCATACCCATCAAACAAAATGATGCAATTGTTTCCAAAGTGTCTATTGCTTATGTCAGATAAGCATCATAAACACTATTGTATGTTCAGCTTTGGAGCCATATCACTCCTTTTCTCAGCAAGTATCCACCATCAGCTATGTACACAGCATCTGGAGGAACTTCCTTCTCATGTGGAAGGCTTTGTTTGCCTGACAAAGTATCAATGACAGAGTACATGACAGATTTTTCTGTTTTTTTCTCATTGAGTACTCATCGAATAGTGATAGAGGACACGGAGAAAGTTCATATTTGAAACAGGATAAAAAGTCATTATCTGTTTTCATGAGGCACAGGTGCAATGAAAAAGCTGCATGATATTGACAGGTATAACCTCATTCTGTATTTTGATTGAGTTGTTCATGACTGATATGGGGAGTACTCTGTTTTTTTCTTGGAATATGCAGATCTCCAAAGCGTTTGCCAACTATATTCTTCATAGCAGAATCTCAAATTGCACGTGCAGAATCGCAAGTAATGTCTTCTTTCCCTACAATTCCACTACTCAAGGAGACCAGATCCTGTCCTTGTTCAAATGGAGAATGCGTTGACAGCCATTCAATCAGCTTGTTAACACCACTGGTGTCCCTCTCAATTCTAGGTGCTCATGAACACCACAAAATCTCGTCCCACAGAATTCCTCGAAGTACTGAATCATTTCAGTACAACCAGGCATTGCCAAGACCCATTGCGCCAACACACTGTCAGTCCTCGTCCACGAGTGAGACCACCGGATGTCTTCATCGCCCGCATGAGAACCTGTCCAATTGTCATGTCTGTCCGGATGCCAGCCCACATCTTGTCACTTCGCCTAACAGTAAAACCACCAAATCTGGTAAAAGCTTCAAATTCATCCTTGGGCATACTATCTCCCAGTTGTGACATCTGTTGAACATACTTTTGGCATACGCAATATGTCCTGCAGCATGAAAATATGGTATCATCTTGCAGGCAGCATCAAGATGAAGATCCCAGTCTCCGATCCTGTCACCTCGAATGAACTGGTGTATCAAAGAAACTTCCTCAAAATATTGACACCACAGCTTTACTTGTTTCATCCTTCTTCAAGACAATAATAGCTATGTCTAACTCTGTCAAAGTATGAGCCCTTAATGCTCTTGCATAAGCCTGACCTGTCAACATTTTTTCAGTAGAGTCAAGGGCATAGATGAGTGACCATAGCTCTTTCAATCCATTGCCATCATTATATAACCAACCAAACCCATGAAAGGCATAAGGAGATTGAAACCACCAAGTCTGACAACAACTGAAGCTACAGTACTTTTGTTCTAGTGGGAAGCTACAATATCAACAGCTTTCTCATATAGAGGTGTGACAGATGTCACAAAACATGTTTTCTGTACATGTTTCCTGCATTTCCTGCATGCCAGAACAGATTATATTGCGTCTGGATTTGATGCCTGCAAGTTCACAACTTGCAATGGGATCACTTTGGATACTTCATAATTGTCAACCCTTCTGGCACATGTATCCACTCCAGGAGGGAGCGTCCTCCAATTTCAACTATACTCCACTCATCCAAAGCGTATCCGAAAGAATATGCACAGAGCTAGAAGAGGTCAGCTTTCTTACATTGGAAACCAAGCAAACCTTTCTTGCTCTGAAATGAAGAAGTCAAAATATCAGTTGACTTGGACCTGGCATTGTCTGCTGAAACAGCTTTGTTACGCTTAATAACATCAGATATACAGATAGAACTACCTGGTGTGACACACATGATTCCACCCATACTATTAAATGTGCCATATCCATCAAGTGTGCGAAAATCTGCATTGTCAAAGACAAATTGCATGAAGACATTTTTACCAATCTCATGATCTGCAGCCATTGCAGAATGTTAATAGGAAATAGCTCCATTATATGATGAGCACACTCCCAAGGCTGACATTACATCCAGAAGGTGCTTAGATCCAATCTGTTGGTGAATATACGGGGATAAACCATAGAAAGAAATTATATTTTTCTTGTTGCTGAGAGAATTTGGTGCCTTTCTTTGCTTTGTAGCAACATCACCTTTTTTTATCTTTGTAATCCTTTCGACCAAAACACTGAGTATTAGGCACATTCATCATGTGATTATAAAAATCAGCAGGAGTGTAACGGTCAGTATCACAAAGCATTGACCTGATGTCCTCCCGCATGATTCTTCTTCAGGGTCCCCCAACTTCTGAGAATACCATGCATCTTGTGGCCTGTATTTCTAATGCAAAATAACGGTTTCCTTCCACGAATGCCAGAAATGATAACACCATCACCAAGGTGATCTAGGAATTTTGATCTCAGGATTTTTTTCACTACATTCAATCTCACCATCAGCATGAAATCAGCATGGTCACGAGATCCTCTGTTTAATAATGACATTCATCATTTTGTTCCAGAAATTCAAACAAATCATCAAAGGCTCTGCTAAGTTTTTCATCTGCAGGCCTACCCTTCCCTTTGATAGAATGTGGTCTGTTAAAGAATTTCTTATAACATGTATGGTGATACCATCAAATCAAATTGGTCCATCAAACTATAAACTTTGTAAAACTGTTACTGCATTTGCTTCATTGAATGGCTTCCAGGGGCCTTCTCAAATCACTTGGAAGAGAAAGGTTTGTGGCAAGATATGTATTCCATGCATTCCAACCAAGTAAGCTACACAGAATGGAAGCTGTTCAACTTAATTGCTAAATGTTCGTGTTAAAATATTCACTGACAAAAAGTCAAACACTTGATAAAAGCTATGCATCTTAGCACCCCTTAAGTGGAAGATGATACTTGATGAGCAATTATGGAAGAAAAGAGCAAGTGGTAGTTTACCGCCTAAGGGAATTGTTTAAGCCATTCATGGATGTTTGCAAAATAATTGTTGGTTATGTATCAGTGCTTTTATAATTGTTGCAATTTTCAATGGAACTGAAATTATAAGTATAGATATTATATTTAAACGTTGAGATAATGTTCAGCTTGCCATGAAAGTATTAACATGTTTACTTATCAGTATCTTTGATGAATATTATTGTGATAAGACGAATGCATACTGGTTATTACAAAGCGAGGGGATAGGGGTTGGGGGCAACACAGTTTTCTGACTGGTATGCAGATCAATGAAATTTCGCGTCTTGCCAGTTTCAGTTTAAATGTTTACATGAAATGTTTTATTAATATGTCTTCCAACTATTTGGTACCATTGGATAGATAAATTATAGGGCAATCAATTATTCATCTCTGCATAAGACCAATTAAACTTCACATGAAAAGGTTTCAGGCCAAAAATTCAGACCCAGGGTTACAATTTCCTAGAAATCTAATTTTAGAACAAAACGGGATGTGCACGTGAGGCAAATACTTATTTTCTACTTTTTAAAGTACGTGCACTACAGTCCATTATATCTGTCAAATTGGATGAGATTATATTTACAAATAAAGATTTTATGAGCATTTCTGTTTTTAAAATAGGATTTTCTTAGAAGAAAGATTATTGTAGGGTAAGCATGTTTGCACGTGCACTGTGGATCTAGCTCAAGTGGGATTTTAGGGGACTTTTTGTATGTTATGAAGGAAGGTCCATAAAATATATATGCCAAGTTTCGTTTCTTCATCATTGTTTTTCGACCTTGGCCAAAAAATGGCTAGTTTGACTGGCCTATGGGTGAAGTCGCGCAAGCAATGGAAACCGTGGACGGTTTTTATTTGCATCAAATCAACTAAATCAAACAACATCTCGAAAACGAGCGGGATACACGAATCGGATTGCACAAATTACTACAGAGTCGTCAATGCTATCGATGACGTGCTTGTAGCCGCCAGCATAGGGCTCGGTGGGTCCGGGGTCGACTTATTGCTCATGATCAACGCGACCCCGATCGTGCTTGGCATAGAAATAGCAGCGGGAGCCTTGGGATTGGTGGGAATTGCGCTAAAATGTGTTTCACGTCAATTGAAAAGAAAAGTATTAAAACACAACAGCATTCGCGTTGTGGCTGAATCAAATTGAATACGACTGAGGATCATATCTCGATAGCGATCTCCGATAGTAAGATATCATCCACCCCTATGGATATGTAACAACTTGACTGGTGCAGGTTTCTGTTGCTGTGATACATTTCATGTTCAAACATAAAGTTTGAATGGGTTTTTGTCTGCAGAACTTCAAGTGGAAAGAGCACCCTCATCAACGCCATGTTGCGAGACAAGATTATGCCGTCCGGGAAGGGCCATACCACTAACTGCTTCATCCAGGTGGAAGGGTGGGACACCAAAAAAGCCGATCTTCTCACTGAGGAATCCGACCAACCCAAGGACATCGAGGTAACACATTTTACAATTCTCAGCATGTGGGCCGTAGGGAATACTATTATTACATACGAGGAAGAATTGTTAAAGGTCATATGCAACGTAAAACACAGCTTTGCAGATTCTGAACAAATCGTCAAAAATGCAAATTCAACTTATAAAGTTAAAAAATAACGCGATGAAAAAAAACGCGCGAAATCGGAGTTCAAACGTTTCACTAATTTTCCCCCGACTTTTCTGGGGAAAACGGGTTTCAACAGCTGGGCTGCGCTCATAGCACGTGCGCAAGTAAATAGGTTCGCGCAGCTTGGAAGAGGGTTGGGTGAATACTCGGTGAAGGCTTTGGTGTGTGCTATTTTTCTAATGTTTTGTTGATATCTCACAGGCGCGAACTTTTTATATGTTATGACAGTAAATTAACTGTTGATATAATTTCATTTGTCTATTTCACCACACGTTCTTCTTACCCAGACACTTTCTCAGTTCGATACTTAAAAGCAATGTCATTATTTAGCGTTGACACAATTTCTAACTGTGATATAGATATGTCGTTGTCACAGACAAAACGCAATGTCTTGTTTTATTGACACCTGTGTGTCTGCCTGCCTGTCTGCTAATGGCAAAATTCAATACACAACTGCAATCACTGACCACATGCAATTCGAACTTAACACCAATCAGGCTATACACCATAAACAAAACGCATTGATTTATGGCCCGAGTTCGGGCTCTGTGACATTATGTAATTACACAGACAGGCAGGTGTGATACTTGAAAACATGACATGTTATGATGTCTGTTGATTGCAAAATGATATACACAAAAAATGAGCATGTATTTACAAAACCCAACATCTCTATATATACACACACACAATGAGCCGTCAAGGCGGCATCTGCTAATGAACCAGCCGTTACACTTGAGTGCACACCCACCCGCTCTGACTGGGTTCGGTATCCCGGCTGCTTCGTTTCGAGGGAGGTAAACCCAAGTACAAAATATTGCACTTTTGATTTGCGATTATACGCTTATAATTTTGTTTATTTGTTTTTTCATAATCAGCAATGCATATTATATGTCATGAAGAAGTGATAATTGTGGTTTAATTATGTTTGATTTTTTGGTTGCATGTGACCTTTAACAGATGTATTCCTAAAATGTTTTTGTCACTTTGGTTTGTAAATTGCAGGCGTTCATCGATAACAAGGACAACTTGTACATGAATAGAACTGTGTTTCTACAGAATAACTTAGGTTGTATACTCCTCAGGAAATGAATGCAAGAAGGAATTGATGCAGAGTAATCTTTAGCAGCTAGAGCTTATGTTGTCACCGTATATGTAATTTGTTCTGTACAAAGACTCAGTGATTCATCCTCCTCATGACACATTACCTGTGGGGGGTTCCGGGCCGTTTCACCCAAAGTCGTTTCACCCGGGTTGTTTCATCTAGATTCGGACTAGGTCAATTCATCCCACAATAGGGGTCATTTCACCCCTAATCAAGAGTTGTTTCACCCATCTAAGTGAGTTTACATGGAGAATGGTATTAATGCTTATATGTTAGTCCTTATTAGGCAATGTTTTTACAACAAACAGGTAACTGCTACTGTCCCTGTGTTGAGATAGCACATCGGACTTATATCATCTCACCACGCTTAAAACTTGAATGAACATTTAAATAAGTCGACATTGAATTAGACATTACACTTGCATTTGTGTCATGGCGACTGCATGTTTGGAGATCTGCCTCAGCTGAGATGGACTGCAGTTTGAAACTTGTCATTGCCATCAACACAGAATATGTGGCACAGGTAATCTTAGTCGTAACAACTGTTTGATAAGAATGTTGCATGCATGTTAGTAATCCAACACAGCCAATATGAACTGATATAACAAGCAGTTGTCACTGAGGTGACATAATCCCACGCCGCAAATTATCACATCAAACTTAGAGAGTAATGAAAGTGAAGGTCGTAGGTTAAGATGAAGTTAAATGTCAACAAAAACATGACCAGTCAACCTCTCTTGATATCTTGCTCTGCTCTGTAGCCGTGTTCAAAAACACAATTATTTTTAATACTGACTTTGACCTAGGCCTGAATGTCATGGTTTATGAAATATGCAAAAATGGTAAAAGAGAAATTGCTTATCAAAACACATTCACGAGAAGTCTTGAAAGTCTACAAAGACGAAAATCCAGTGAACCATTCTTGAGATATCTTGCTGACAAGCTTAACATACTGAAATCTTCAAAGTGTTGCTGTGACCTTGAAATTTGTGTGAAGGTCATGAAGCCTGGTGTCAAATATGATGAAAATCCAGTGAACGGTTATTGAGATATCTCACTGACAAGCTTAACATGCAGGCTAACATGCTGAAATCTCCAAAGTGTCGTCGTGACCTTAAACATTATAGGAAGGTCACCAAAATTGACTGGACCCTGCGCCTTCCCTGTATGAATTTTAGTGTCCAACATGAAGAATATCCAGTGAACTGTTCTTGAGATATCTTGCTGACAAGAGTAAGACGTAAAGTCCCATTGTGACCTTGAAATGAAGGTCAAGGTCACCAAACCTGCCTGGGACCTTTCAGATGATGTGATGAACCTAGGTACCAAGAATGAAAAGAATCCAGGCAATGGTTCTTAAGATATTCCAATTCGTACAAACGGACGGACAGAGCCTAATACTATACTAGCCACATAAAGAAACTGTGCGCACAGAAAATGCCTTCAGAATTGGAATACAAGACAGCAAAGACGAAATGATGTAGGCAGTTTATAAGCTGAAGTATCGGACCTCAAGAAAATGTCAAAAGAACATGAACAATATCCGTAACGAAGTCACAAAGTCAATAACGGGTATGACCACCGTGTGCGTGGAGCACAGCAGTGCATCGACGACGCATATATGCTATACCAATTGAGCATTGAAGTCCTGGGGAATGGTCTGGGACATGGTCACTGCTGTCTAGAACCTGTGTCTGAGATGAGTCACCCGAATCCATCTGTTCTGTCTTGGTGTCGTTACATCGGGAACGCCCAGAACGTGGGTGGTCGTCGATGTCATTACTGTTTTGATAACGCCTGACCAATGCAGATACCGTGTTACGATGGCATTGGAAATGTGCTGCCATCTGTTGTTGGCTCATTCCTGCTCGAACCATTCCAAAGGCTTCATGACGTTGAACAGATGTTAATCTTGGCATGATGTGCATGTGTCTTCTCATGTGAATTTGTGAACGTTTGAGTTACAAAAGATCAAGCTTTCGACAGTGACAGCAATTTCAGAGTTTCACATGTTGTGTGCAGCTGCATAGGCTGCACGTGCAGTAACAAATTGCAAGGTCATAGGCCACCGTCAATGACGTCACGTCGCCTGGCACGTGCATGAGCGTTTAATTGTCTCCAATACTTGCTATGCTCACAAATGTGTTTATGTATGAAGACACTGTGTGCCTATGTTTATATTTTCTGTGTGCACAGTTTCTTTATGTGGCCAGTATATATCCCGCGCGGCGGTGGATAATTATTCAAACAATCTGAATATGCTGTTTTGACACTATACATAGATTAATAAAATATTGAAACAAGAGTCATCAGAAGATGACAAATTCCCCCGGCCCCCATAAATTTGAAAGAACAAATCAACTGACAGTTACTTTAAGTCCAACTTGAATTTTTTGGACTAAGTCCAAATCGTTTCCACGGAAATCATGAAAAATAGAAATTACAAAAACCTGCAAATAGCAAAAAGCAATACTTCAAGATCTTTTTGATATATCTGTCAAGTCTTGTAGAAAGATATTGAACGGTTTTCGAGTTGTGATCCGGAAACGAAACCCACCTCTCTCTTTTGAGACTAAGTCCAAATCGTTTCCATGGAAACCAAGAAAAATGAAAATGACAAAAACTTGCATATAGCAAAAGGCTTCACCTTAAGTTATGTTTGATATATCTACCAAGTCTTGCAGAAAGATATTGAATGGTTTCCGAGTTGTGCTCGGGAAACGAGGCTCACCCCTCTCTTTTGAGACTGTCAGAAACATTTCCATGGAAACCAATAAAAATACAAATGCCCCAAATCTGCAAATAGCAAAAGGCACCACCTTGAGATCAGCCTCACATATCTGCCAAGTTCTGTTGAAAGATATTGAACGGTCTCTTTTGAGACTAAGTCCAAAACGTTTCCATGGAAACCAAGAAAATTAAAAATGCCAAAAATCTGCAAATAGCAAAAGGCACCACGTTTGGATCTGCCTCACATATCTGCCAAGTTTCGCTGAAAGATATTAAGAAGTTTTCGAGTTGTGTATACGGGGGTGATGACTTCCCCACAATTCTCAAAACAATCAACCCTGGTGATGATCCACCTTCGTCAAGAACAACTTCGCCAGGGCTGATTGGTCATTATATGAGGCTCTGTGTGTTGAACACTTAAAACATGACGTATTTGCGAACAGCGAAGATCCTATACAATTGTTTTCCGATATCCTCAAAGGCATTGCTGAACAAAGGATACCCAAATCCTCTGCAATTCCACATATTCGTAAACCATGGTCTAATAATGACTGTAAACAGGCCAGAAAGTACAGGAAGAAAGCGGGAAAATATTTTTGCAAACATCCTACTGTCCATAATTTAGATAAAGTTAAAATTTTAAATGCCAAGGCACTTTTAAACAGAATAAGCATTAGTCTTGGAGGAACTATGTTTCCAAAATTAATTCCTGTACACCTATGTCAAAGGTGTGGAATATGATACAAAGAATTAAGGGCAAAGGTTCCAAATCTACTGTTCATTATCTGAAGGATGGTGATAATTTATTAACTGATAAGTCTGATATTACCAATAAGATTGGTGAAACTCTCGCCAAACATTCTTTTTCGTCAAATTACATCCCAGAATTTCAACAATACCAGAAACAACAGGAGAAGAAGAGAATAAATTTTAACTCAGACAATGGCGAAGACTATAATGAATTATTTTCATTACATGAGCTACCAACTGCCCTTGAGAAAACTCATGATACAGCAACAGGAGCTGATAAAATACACTATCAGCTCTTGAAGCATTTAACGGAATCATGTTTGGAAACACTTCTACATATTTTTGATTCAATATGGACTTCAGGGAATTTCCCAACTTCATGGCGCAAAATGCCATTGTAGTCCCCATTCCAAAACCTGGCCAGGATCATACTGATCCGTCTAATTATAGACCAATCTCTTTAACGAGTTGTGTCTGTAAAACCATGGAACGAATGGTAAACAATAGATTAACTTGGTGTCTTGAAACCAACAACCTTATAACAACATTCAATGTGGTTTCAGGAAAAATCGCAGTACCACTGATCATCTGGTACGTTTGGAATCCTTTGTTAAAATGCAATGGCACTCTAAATGGCACTCCCATCAAAGGTGTCAAGGAGACCAAGTTCTTGGTTTTAATTTTTGACTCCCATTTAACGCATATTAAATACCTGTTTCCAATTCGAAGTGGGGAGGGGATCAAGCTCCCCTCCTGCACCTATACCGGTCATTAGTTTGTTCCAAACCTGATTATGGCTCCATTGCAAATGGTGCAGCTTGTAAGAGCAACCTAAAAATATTAGATTCTATTCATCACAAAGGTCTAAGACTTTGTCTTGGATCCTTTAGAACTTTTCCTGTTGAAAGTTTCTACGTTGAGGCCAGTGAGCCATCTCTTTACCATCGCCGTATAAGATTATCCTTACAGTATGTTACAAAACTATATTCATATAAGTCAAATCCTGCATTTAATTGTGTTTTCATCCATTTTATAAGGACCTGTACAACAAAAAGTCTTCTCTTGTTTCACCTCTTGGATTACGAGTCAAAACTTTCATTTCTGCTGCCGGCATTGAGCTTGAAAATATATCTCCTTCCCGCCTTCTTTTTTCTCCTTGGCAACTGCTGAGGCCACAGGTTGACCTAACACTGACAGCGTTTAAAAAATCTGAAACTAATTAATTACAATATAGACAAGAATATAATCAATTAAAAACTAAATATAATACATACAAATCCTTATTTACAGATGGGTCCAAGGACGGTGGCGCAGTTGCTTGTGCCACTGTCACTGGATCCAAAACAATATCTTCTCGATTACCAAATAACAGCTCTATTTTCACAGCAGAAACTCACGCCATATTAACAACTCGTAGGTATATTAATAAACACCATAAATATAAACAATACGTAATCTTTTCCGATTCTCTTTCGTGCCTTCATGCCATTAAAAACCTTTCTTGTAAACATCCACTTGTCATAGAAATTATTGAATTGTATAATGATCTTGCTACTGGCCAATGCGACATCGTCTTTTGTTGGTTACCCAGCCATGTTGGCATTTCTGGGAACACAATGGCCGATCTTGCTGCTAAGGCAGCACTCAACAAATCTGTGACACCACTTCTTATTCCATACTCTGATTACAAAGCTAGCATTAGAACCTACTTCCGGGATATGATGCAGAAGAAGTGGGACACCCAAGTTGGTATCAACAAATTACATGAAATAAAAACCCTATATTGGTTACACCTACTTGGGTTGTCAGTCCTGATTAGAAGAGGACGGTTAAAGTTCGGCTAAATTTTTCCTACAATCGCCAGCGGCTGACGGGATGGTGTAAATCCAACTAGGGTCCATGCAGGTAGCAGAGGTACTGTAAGTCCCCATAGTCCCTAGTATGGTGATCTATCTTCGGTTGTTGGCGATCTATAGCCCATTTTTATACTGTCTTGTCTTAATTCGAAGTCCAATTTTAGAGAGATATGCTAGTTTATTCTTAATACTGTGATATTCTAGTTAGTTTTACTGTCCTTCCTTGACATGTATTTATGTTCAATTTGAAACTTGTTGTAGTCACGATATGGCTGAAATATTGCCGATGTGACTGTAAATTTTAACTCACTCACTCACCATATTAGGGACTGTGGGGACTTACATTACTTTTGCTACCTGCATGGACCCGAGCTGGATTTACATCATTCCTTCAGCTGTCAGCAATTTCTCACAATCTAGCAATGAAATAAATGAACATGAATACTACGATTCAAAATAATAGTAGGTTTAAATCTACCTTAAATGCTCTGGAAATCACGTACCCTCTCAGGAGAACAATACTTTTACAATACTTCAACCCCCTTTGAGTGAGTGAGTGAGTTAAAATTTCAAGTCACTTTGGCAATATTTCAGCCATATCGTGACTAAATCAAGTTATAGTTTAATAATAATTAAAGGTACATGTACATTATAAAAAAACTGTCAACGAAGGACAGTAAAACAACTACATTATCACAGTTGTATATGTAAAACATTGTAATTAAATCTAAAACATTTGAACTATAGAGGACAATACAATAGAGGACGTTTTTACAGTTGCCAATCTAAAATATTTATCTATTCACAAACCATTTATAAAAATTATCTAGTAATTCTATTTATTGCAAAAATTCGATGATAATTGATAATTTACATTAAAAAGATCCTTAACTGTTTTGACATTGAAATATTTATCCCTTGTGATGGAATGAGTGAGTGAGTTAATATTTCACGTAACATCAGCAATATCTCAGCCCTATCGTGACGAAAGCATTTATACAATAAAAATGAAAACATTTTGAAGCGTAAAATCTGTCGACGATGGACAGTAAAAATCCTAGAGTATCACAGATATGAATATAAAACTAGAATGTAAATCTAAAACATTTTAATTGAAGAAGTCAATGCAATATAAAACACGGGCTATAGATCGCCAACAACTAAAGGTAGATCCCTATGGTCAAGGGGTTGTGATGGAATGCTTGATGTGGAAGGAAGGCCCGAGGTGATACAGGTTATCAATGTTGTAAAACCTAAGAGTACAGGCATGGTGCTGACAAACCTAGAGACATTCAGAGAGAACAAGGATTCAAAGCAATGATCATAGTATCCTGGCATGCCCAAGGGAGGCAACTATGCTCAGCAAGGGTTACTGGTCATAAAGATCAACCTCTTTGGATATCAAGAAACATTAGTGTAGGTATTGTGCTGATAGACCTTGACCTTGTGTGAATCTCAGATTGGAATACCGGAATAGAAAATCATCGGCTTCCGTCACGTGAACAGACGCGAATTTACACAATGAACTGTATTGTTCCACAAAATGACTGGACCACTTATTTGATGAATATCAGTTATCGTTACCATGGTTACAGAGGAAAGAAATATAATGTGCCCTTGTATACACAAGAAGGCTATGCTATTTGTTTTGGGTTTTTTTTGTCATGTTTACGTAGGGGTATATTTGCCTTTTTGTGCCAGGCTAATATCGGTTTTATTCCTTCCAGTCACTCAAACAGTTGGCCAACAATCAGAGTGATCAGAGACTCAAGTCTAACTCTCTTATTCGGATCCGGTGGCCAAAGACTACGTGTCCTCTGTTGAGGGAGGATGTGGTGTTTGTTGATAGGTAAGTAACAAAAAAACAGTAAGAATTTAACGTACTCCACGCTAGTCGTAAGAATATAGCAGACTGGACGATCATTCTGTTACAGCTGGTTAAATCGCCAAGTAATGTCAATGGAGCACATGACTCGCTGTAGGGGTGAGGTGCGGTTTATTCAGATATTTTCCTTAATCATACATCAAGCCCCATTTGTTGAATAGAGCCTTACTGATTAGACCATGTTGTGCTGATACATGAGTTCATATGTGACCTGATTGATGCCGTTTATCTACCATTGGACCCTGTGGCCTTGTTGCCCGAGTGCTGTGCTGTGCTGTGCTGTGCTGTGCTGTGCTGTGCTGTGCTAAGGTGTTATTACAGGGGTGCTCAGACTGGTGCATGGGAATTATGGGAATTTGAAATTAGCCAATTAGGGTCATGTGATAAACAATAATCCAAAAGGAGACCATACTCTTGATCCAGCATATTGTGAATCCTAAACATAATAAGAACGTTTCCGATGAAAGAAATTCATCTGAAATACTTGACAAATACAACCAAATATCAATATGATTGACATATGCTTAAAACCACAAACTTTAGAATACTACCTAAACCTTCAATATTTTTAGTGACCGCTTTATGACTAATATAATATTTTTATTCTAATTTTACTTGTAAACAATAAAACACTATAACACCATTTTATATTCAATAATTGTAAAACAGTTCTATACAAACAAACCAAACTGACTTATTAAAAACATGAAAAATGTCACTGCTACAATTCCATGTGTATTTGCTGATTGTGAATTGTCATATTCTCATGACATGAGAGTGAGTGAGTAGATATTGCTTAAGGACGCATCAGCAATGTTGCAGCTATTCACGGCGAGAAATGTAAAACAATACACTATATGTTAAAAATCATAAGGAAAATTCTCAGTTATTTATCACGTTCAAGGGCAAAAACTAACTTTGAGATAAAAATCTACATTTTATCAAACTATTTGATTACTTTTAAATATCCTAAAATCAGATGGTCAGAGACTGTTGTAAAAAGTTCAGATAAAGTATGAACATAAAAATCATAAAAACGTTGTCCGATAAGCGCAAAATCAACAGTGACGCAAAATGTGCTTGATTGAAGTTCGAAAAAGGAGAATCGTCACCTTTAAGTAAAAACGAACGTGTGTAAAACCATACTACCCATCAAAAGTTTAGACTCACTTAAAGCACTCACTAATGTTATGTATGTATACTCTCCTCAAAAAGAAACGCATATAGGAATTTCAACTGTATTTTTATGTTTATTTTGAAACATCTTGTAGGCTTTATGAGTCAATGAAATATAGCGAAATTGCACACTTGGAATGCAAACGTATCCGTCTTTGACAGCAACTCGAGGAAAGTCAATCTGAGTGTCACATGGAGACGTGTGGTGGCGCTGAAGTCAATACCTCGTGTGACCACCATGGGCATCCAGAACTGCATGGCATCGCCTCGGCATCGAACGAATAAGTCTTAGAATCTCGTGTTGCCCAGTCGCAGCTAACTCTGCCTGTAGTTCCTGTGCGAGTTGCTGAAGTGTCTGGGGGCTGAGGGTTACAGCGTCGCACCGATCTGTCCATCTGAAGGGGGTAGATCTCCAATCAGTGGTTTGTGGGTGTGGAGCTTATTCGAGACCTTGGTTACCCAGCTTTTTTGCCAATGATCATTCACATATTTTGAATAGAGGATCGGAGATCGGAATACGGGAAGCTTGTGCTTGTAGTAGACTTACTGAGAACAGATTTTGTCGAGGCATTGGCTTTACAGTTGCCACTGATGCCAACATGGCTGGGCAGCCAACAAAATATGATATCTTATTCATCCAAGGATAGATTGAGGTGATAATTTAAAATGTCAGCCAAGAATGGATGATCCTGTTTCAATTTTTGATTGCTTGTAAGCATGACAAACTATCAGACCATATTAGAAAGTTGCCCCTGGAAGATTTTTTAATGTATTGTATAGCTAATAATATGGCCTGAGCTTCCAAAATTGAGCTGTCATCGGTTTGTCGCAACGACATAGTACAATTGCATATAACGGCTGCAGCTGATACCTTCTCCCATCTTTTTTATCCATCTGTGTAATCATACGCTTGTTCTGTTATTTGTCTATATTTGATAAGCACTTGCTTCTTATCTGAGTGAAAACTGGTAACCCCAGGATAACTTCTGTTTAATTCCAAGGTGAATTTTCACTTTGTGAGATGACTCATAATGCCAGTTCATGTCATGATTTTCATTAAAAAAATATATAAACAAAATGAAAATATGTTTTGCAGATATATTCTTGCTTTTTGGCAGACTTTTAAACTCTGAAGAAAAGATTATATCTCCTTGTTGAATAAATTAATTTCAAAAAGTTCATTAACTATTATAGATAAAATGATGAAAATATCGAATATATTAACATATGACAATAATTTTCTGGAAGTATGGTAATTCGAACAAATAGATATTAAAAAATCTCTGTAAATATTTTAAATCTATTCGAATACGAGTTCACTCTATTTTTCTGGACACAAGATATTAATTTGAATTATAACTATGATGTTTCCTTCTAGATCCACCAAGTCCATCAAAAGCTGAATTTCACCACTTTCAAGCTTTTTACTTTGATTTCTAGCCTTTCCATTATCTTGCAAACAAGATTGTAGGTGCCTTTAAATAAGTGTTTTCGTGCAGTGAATCATGGGTAATATTTAGGGTCATGCCCAACCACTCTCCTACCCAGAGTTCCATGCGCCTAACTAAGCTATCGCTACACCGGAGTGTGATGCCCAACTTAATGAAGGTTTTTCTATCTCGACTACTAAAGAGCGTGTTATCCTAGCTAGGATCGGTAGCTCAAGTTAGGACAGGGATAGGTTCATTTCGAGAATGGGCCTTATCCTAACAGTAGGATTTCCTAACTTCTGTCTTAACTATAGTCCGTTTGGCTGAAAATGAATTGCATTCTAACTGGAAAATTAATAAACATGTAATGTTCAAAGAAACGCTTATCACAATCAAAACATCAGACCAACTCTGTGAGTTTTTGTAGAATTTGTGTTCTAAAAATAAAAAAAGGGAAGGAGTGCAAAGAGAGAAACAGCCATGTGTACACGAGTCACGTGCACAAGTGCCAACCAAATTATTGATTCGTTTACCTGTGCTGTCCCATCTCCATCATTTCTCACACGCCTGGCTGTTCCTCTCTTTGCACTCCTCCCTCGTAACGAATACTGAACTGTGTAAATATTTTAATAATAATTGGTCAAACAACTTTTTTATTTTTGGAACATAAATTCTGCAAAAAAAATCACAGAGTTTGTCTGATGTTTTGATTATGATCAGCGTTTCATTGAGCATTATATATGTATTAGTTTTCGAGTCACATTGCAATTCATCGGTCGGATTTTGAGCCAAATAGACTATAGTTAGGATCTGTCTTAGCTGGGCCACTTTCGAGAATAGGCACCCTGGTTGTATAGACTGTCATGGTAGCATTGTTGCTATTTCCCAGACGGCTATATCAGAAAGATTTAACTGGGTAGATTTTAAATGGGATTCTATACAGATGCCCAGTGGTGTAATTGAGTTTGGTTTCCTGTCATACTAACATTTATACAGAGGATAGAACACATTGTTATACATGTATGTTGGATTCGAAGGATTGGAGCAAGGTTTTGTGATCTATTGTAAGGCCAATTTTAAACGTCTTAAATGAAGACATGGTTTATTTGCCTCAACATCGGACTATCAATGGGCGAGGTCCTGAAAACAGTTAAACATAATCTCAGACCTTGATGGCGAATCCTGTCCAACTCTCGTAAATATGATTTGCGAGCTAAACCATATATATATATAACACCCGTAGTCGAGTTTAGATCGTATTAAAGCTCGGTAAAGACGTAACATTTGACACAACCTTCAGAATATCCAGTGCAATGTAAGGAAAAAAGGATAATCTACTGTCAAAAGTAATGCCTAAGAATCTGGTTTCTTTGACAACCTTGATTGGTGTTTTTTTTAAAATAATTCGGGATCAACGAGTTTTCCGTTTATTGCAAAAATGTACACATCAGTTTTAGTTGTAGAAAATTTAAACCTGTTTTGGGGGGGACCACGTGTGTTTTGCTGAGACAAAGTTGTAACTGTCCTTCAACAGTATTCATATTTGTACCCCTTCATGAAATATTAAAATCTTCAACAAACATTGACCCATCAATATTTTCATTTAAAATCTTAGCAAGGTTGTTTCTTTTAATACTGAAAAGCGTGACTGATAAGATACCACCATGAGGGACTCCCGTTTCTTGATCATATAATTCAGACAATGTGGATCCCTCTCTAACTTTAAATTTTCTATCTTCTAGAAGATGTGTTAGAACGGCTGGCAGCCGGCCATGCAGTCCCATGTTGTGGAGATCTTTAACTCATTAAGGCTGAGAGACGCATATATGGGGCAAATTAATCAGCTCGTCACAGCGAGTGACGTGTTTATGCGGCAGGTAATTAGCAGTTTCTCACAGCGAGAGCCACATATATTCGTCAACAGAAAGCACCTCTTATTCAGCGAGAGACGCACATGTGTGTTGTACTTTTAAATATCGCACTGTACCTATTATTTCAACCAATTTAGCAGTACTGAGCAAATGTTAGTTTTTTATTATGAGAGATCCCACCTTGAGTATCAATCAGAAGAAGTATTTAAAGTGTTTTGACAACAATGGCTAATCATTATCATAGGCTTGTACAGCGTTTGGCTAATGAACACATGTCGGCGAGAAAGGGGATTATGATGTTTTTACAGAGGTAAGTCTGGTATTCTTCATTCCAAAATACTTCGTATGCACATTGATTGAATTAGATGGCTTAGAGGTTACTGAAGATTATATTTTCTTCAACTTCCTAAATAGGAAACGATATAAGCAATTTCAAAGACATACAAAGAATTCAGACACAATAGAATAGTTTGAATTTATATTTTAGGTATGATTACGTTGTCATGTTTCATATAATGAAACATATAATGAAACATAATGTATAAACATAAATAATTATACATCCAGGCTCGAATAGATTAGACATAATTTAACTTACTAATTTGAAGCTTACTGAATTGTAGTTATTTTCCATAATCTAAAGTTGACAATGTTACCTAATAAAATATCGCGCCTTTTATCGATTATATATACATGTCAGTGTTATTACAACAATGAGATCTTTTACTTCGTTTGTTACAAAACACAGTTAGTTGGTAATTCAAAAAATTCTCACACATAGACAGCAGTAATATCATAAGTTATTACATGTAAACCATACAAAGGTATTTCAAGCATTTTTGTTCAAGCTGTTGAAAGTTTCATGATGATTTGAATTGTAAGTTTTCTATGCAATTTACATGAGCATTGTGCAAAACATTTATATTTGATCTCTGTAATTATCAAATCCGGTGTAATTACACGTGTATCAATGAACTCAGTCTCTGTTGATCCATCGTCAATAAAAGCTGGATAGTATATCAGCTACGGTATCAATACACATGCGTATAATCATTCAGTCAGATTACAGTAATGAGATAATGGAACACCTCTTTCGACCTTGAAATAACAGCCTCCGGTAGAATGCATATGTAGTTACGTCTTTGTTGAAAGGTTTGTCCCGTGACAAGTGTAAAATAAACAGATGCGCTGTTATATCATTGGACATCTTGCTTTATGGAGTCACGCCCCTCTCTGTAATGTTTATGCATGCATGCACATCTGTAATCTTATGAACCTTGTGTGCATTCAGTATAAATATAGGCACGCCCTCCTTCATTAATATTTGGAGGGGGTGGGGGTTTCAACTGCAAGTGTATACACTATAATAATTCAGTATAGTGTAATTTCGTGAATTCTGTAATGTGTGTACTTTAGTTTGGATATTCATTTGTATCAAGGTGAAGATATATTTATTTGTTCTTCAAACCATTATGTTTATGTACTAATTGTGTGCGTAAAATCTATATGTAAATAAATACTACCTCTACTCAGTGGTTGGATTTCAATCACTTTGTTTTACGTATCGAAAAACACTAAAATGAGGACAAATAAACTCGCCAATGTGTCTATCTACTCCTATTTGTCTTATGTGTATATTTCATACATCGTTACCAGTGTGTATGTTTACAATACACAAACTGTTACATGATAGCTTGAGTTGATACAGCCGAAACCCAGCATATTGATTGGTCAACGATATAGCCAATAATCAATCTCTATCCAAGCTGTTGAGTCACCAAACGTGCTCTTCAGAAATTTCGCCCATGCCCCATCACCTGTCCTTTCCTCTGTGACAGGTATCTCATGATACGATTGGTCGCAGATAACATGTGACCAGCCGTAATATTAAACAGTTGAGATACTGAACGTGCTATTCGGGAAATTTGACGACGCTATATCACGTGACTTTTTTTTTCTATGCAAGGAATATGTAGTATACATTTTTTATATGTTTGTATGGTCACGTATGTTTTCTGCATTAAATCTAGATGAAACAAAGTGCCAAGCTATGAATGTGCTCTTTGTTAGTCACAGACTAGCGTAATAGTACTTTCATTGAGATAATTTGTATCGGCAAAAACACTATTTTCGTCGAAGATGATAAAGTATGTAAGTAAATTCTTCTTTACAGTATGTCATTGTCATGGATGTTTTGTAAAATTAAACCTCACACAATGATATGAGAGGGAGAATTTGTTTATGTGTGTCATCTCATACATAAAAAAATAATGCCGATGTGACGTAAAGCCCAACTCAACCCAACTCAACTCAACATACAAAGAATATATGCAAATGGTGATAAAATATAAATGTACAAGCCGCCAGGTCTACAAGAGAAGCTTGCAATAACATTACATAAAACTTTGCAATACACGATATGTATTCACACCTGTTTTCTTCCAACATATATCTTTACGACACAATTAAACAATCAGGACTTGTTTGTACGACTAGACAGTTTCCTGTGATCCCCGAAACCTGCCAGGGAAATCAGGTGTGAATAGCACTAATTAGTCTCGGCACAACGAGCGGGCTATCAGCAAGGGGTTCCAGGTGTTGAGTAGTGAGGTGGCTCTCGGGCTTAATGAGTTTAGGGTGCCATATTTCCATGTGGTGTCGGAAGCCTTCTCCAGATGAAAAAAGATAGATACGTGCTGCTTTTTAACAAAACCATTTGAACAAATGATTCCAGTCTGACGAGATGGTCAATGGTACTTTTCTGGCACCTTAAACCACACTGGGTATCTCTTATTAGATTATTTGATTCCAGATACCAAACAAGACGTCCATTGCTCATACGTTTCTTACGTTCCAGATGCAACTGGTCAGCACAATAGGACGGTAATTAGTAGGGTTTGTGTGATCGTTTCCTGGTTTTGGTATAGGCATTACAGTAGCTTCACGCAAGGAAGGTGGAAAGTTACCACTTTCCCAAACATTGTTAAATATGGATAACAGGACTAAAAAAGATGGTTCTGTTACTAACTGTCCATGTACTGATCAAGAAAACCAATAAAACATGGACCAGCAATGGCTAGATCTAAGCGGAGTAAGTTTCAG